GTGTTTCCTCGATCATTAGCCCTATTTCCACTACCCTCTGAGAACCGAGCTTGGATCAGTAAACTGTGCCAAGCTCTGTTTCCTGCGACTATTTACACACCACGCTAGCACGGTTCCTCGCCTCCTGGTGGCGATCTACGGTACTACTGCTCTCTAGAGGGAAACCAGCAAGCCAACATGGCGGCGCCCGTAACATTCAGGAAGTTTGTGGAGAGCCAGGTGAAGAAGGCAGCCTTTGGTGACTTTATTTGACAGAGTCAGCTTTTGGGAAGTGGATACGGCCAACGATAGTCTGATCAGGGCTCAGAGACGCAGGAAACAATGACAGACGTTGAGGTTCATCACACTGCTAAACAGAATAATCACTGGAAAATCGTGTTGCACAGCAGGAAGGCTAGGATTTCTATGAATGTCTGAAGTTTCCTGATTACGGAGGCTGACTGTAAGGAGCCTTCTATGGATAGAGAACCGAGCCAGAACTGAACCACACCGAGCCCTACTGATGACCTAGTACCAGTTTAGAGCGGTTCAGTTGTGTCTGGCACGGTCCGGTTTAGTTATGCGTGCCATTTACTCTCAACAGTTACCTCGGTTACCGTGCTTGGACCGATCTCAGCACGGTTTCTAAAGGGTAGTGGAATATAAACAATAAAAATAAACCATTTAATTTCCCATGGTAGGAGAACAGAAAACAGATTTGCTGATCTATGTTCACTGCCCGGCTCGTTCATACTCCTCGGTAAAAAATAAATTTTGTGAGTCTGGTCTATAGAGGGACTTTCTACTGAGGACAGATAAAGTGTCCTGCTTTGCCCTTTTGTTTCCACCTCTTCAACGACACTGTCAAGGAACGCTATGGACAGAGGAAACATGCAAGAGGAGGAGAGTTTAGTGTCGGAGGTCGTGGATGAGTCTCCTCCATCATCCATTTTTTATTTAGAGGAGGAAAGCGGGGATGAAGATGTTGTGGAAGAGGACGCCAGGGCGGCAGAAGCTTGGTTTGGTGTAGAAGGCTTCCAGCCGTACATGTTTGAGCCCTTGCCTCGCAACGCTGCCAGTTCTGTTAGCTCTACGCCTGCCGAAGACACAGACGTCCATCCCTGTGAACACTGGGACGCAACTCAATGGGAAAGGAAAGGATTCTGATTTCTTATTTCAACCATTCCGTATATTAGCTGCAACATATGAATCAAGCTATGACCGAAAAATTTGATTGACAGATAACCGTTGATATATGATTGGCCGAATTTAGGTGTTCAAGCTGACGTAGAACTAACTGGCCTGCAACAAAAAACAGATTTTAAGACTTTTGTTTAAATAGAAATGTTCTGCATTTTGGAATACTATCATCTGATAAATAATTAATGTATATACATGTTTAAGCCAGAGTGATTTGACATTTAAATATGACTTCCCTACAACTTTTATCTCTGTCACTGTGTATTCTGATGGATATAGTGAGTTGACTTATCCCAGTTCTCCAGAATATGATCCATTACCAGGACTTTCTAACTTTCTTCCAGAAGAAACTCAACCCAGATCCTGGTTAAAGTTTGATGCTTAAGTTATGCAGACTTACTGTCTTCTCTAATAGCTGCCAAAAGGATTTATTTTTCAAGGTGGAACAGGAAATGTTATTTTCTTCCTGTTTATAAAAATATTTGTTCTGTTTTTTCTTTGTTTTTCAAATCCTAATGAATCCTACAGCACTTCTCTGTTTTATTTTTGATCATGTGGATATTTTGAGGGATGAGGAGATGCACAGACTCATTATTCTGCAGAGGAGGATAAGTCTGGTAAATGGGCATTTTTATTCAGAAGGAATCTCTGCACTCCGCTGCTACTGCAGTTGTCCAGATGTTGGGTTCAATTCCAGTATAGATAAAGCTTATAGTTAGAGTGGCTCAGGTTATCCTGAGCTATCTCTATAGATATGCTGCTATAGGGTTAGACTGCTGGAGGACATAGGGTCCGCTTCATCTGAATGTATTCGCTGCGAACAACAAAGATGGGGTGTTTTCAGGGTCAGCGTGAAAAGAACTGATGCTTCGGTTTTGGTTTAACTACAAAGAAACTCAGAGCTTCATCTTCTAACTTCTGCTCATCATCGTCACTGTTTTACGCTCCCCATCTGTGCCCATAGCTGTTGTTTATCTTCATCTCTATTCTGTTCACAGATGGGTAATTAAATGCCAGTTTGAACTTGTTTCAATTCATTATCCTAATGTCATTCAGCCTAAATATTTTACTAAACTTTTCCTAATTCCCATCTAACCTTGTCCCCTGTCCTGTTTTCTTTCACACTGGGCTATGCACTAATAGTGTAATTGCCTTAGCATTGACCTTGGTCCTGGAAGCTTGGCCTCCCTTTGAACTTGATGTTTACATTTTTTGCCACTAGCTAGAATGACATCAGCACATGGCGTTACACATATTTCTCCTGGCATTTTTCTCCAAGAGCACCTTCTCTTCTCTTCTGTCCTCTGTTGAGACCTGATGAGTTATTGTGGTATAGTAGGAGCTCTCTCTTTGTCCTTTTGCCTGTGCAGAAATCCTCTGTGAACTCAGCAGCACTTGTTTAACCTTCCTCTGAGGCTGATGTTTGCTGTAGTTGGGTTCATGCAGCAAATATGTTTCACTCTGAGTGGAGAATCCTAGTCAATACCTCGTTCTCTCAGTCTTTGTTGTCGTTGAGGAATAAAATCTAAATAAAATCTCAATGTTTGTAAAATGAGAGTGTTTAGATAGACTGAGATGAATTTATTGAGGTATGATTGGGTTCTTTCTTTGCTTTCCTAAAGTCAGGGGCGGATTTAGGAAATTCGGGGCCCTGGGCAACGACAGGCATGGGGCCCTTTGAAATGGGAAGACAGCACATAAAACAGACCCATTATCCAGATAGAGAAATGTTAATAGAACAGACATCCATGATTTTTTCTAGGTT